ACAGACTGCAACGGCGGTGCGGGTGGTCGGTACGACGACGCGCCGGTGGTGTCTGAGGCGTACGACGATGACGCCCTGTCGTGGAGCTTCCGCGCCTCTTCGTCGCTCTCCTCGTCATCGCGCAGCAGTGCCTCCAGCCCACCACGCCGAGGCTCGCGCAGCTCCTGCCAGTGGCGGTCCTCCACGTACCACACAACGACGCTGTACACAGTGACCGCAAGCAGCACAGTCGCCAGCAGCATCAGAAGTGCCGCGTACGCCCTCACACCGCCGTCGCTCGGCGCAAGGTGGTTGGCCGCGCTGACCACGCACAGCGCCGCAAGGAGCACAAAGCTCGCCGTGCGCATCACCGTCAGGAAGGCCGAGCGCATCATGTTCGTGAAGGCAACCACGCCCGCGCCCGCAAGCAGCACAGCCGCCATGCAGAAGTACTGGACGTGGCAGCCTCCCACGGGCGGGTGCCCAGCCGCAATCAGGCCCACCACACACAGCACCGACAGCTGGAACACGCACCAGTACACGTGGCTGCCCCTCATGTTCGTCAGCATGCCGCCGTACATCCGCTGCTGCGCCGCGGGGTACCAATACCCGACGGGGCAAAGCAGGCGCTCGTGCAACGGCTTCCTCGAAAACTGCCAGTACTTCGTGAAGCTCGCGCCCACGTGGCGGGCAATGAAGTAGCACACGCCAGCAGGGAACGCCACTCCGCACAGCACGCCAACGACACCAACCACGCGGTGCTGCACGCGGGCGCCGGGCATCGCCAGTGCAAGCACGGAGCCAAAAAAGATGCCAAGGTGCATCGCGTGTGCCACGACGTACGTCAGGCTCGGGAAGCGCATCGCCGCCCACGCACTCGCCGCGTCCACGCCGCGCCACCGCTGGAAGGCGGCCGTCACACCGCAGTGCACGCACCCTAACACAGCGACGAGCAGCGCGTTGCCCACCACCATCCACAGCGGGTCAAGGGCAGCAAACACCGACAGGAAGTACGGCAGCGCAACGGTGCTCGCACGCTCCTGCGCCGAGGCGCATGACATCCTCGCAAACACGCCGAGTGCCTGCATCTCCAGGATGGAGCCCAGCCCGCCAGTCACCACCACGGCAACAGCCGTCGCACCCGCAACAACGCCGGTGACCGCCGAGAGGGCGCTGGCAGCGGCTGGCAGCGTGTCGGAACTGATCGTAAAGGACCCAAGCAGCACACCCTTGCAGCCGCCGGACACCGCCGCAGCGTCGCACCGAATGACTATCGTCTCGTCAGCAACAATGAAGTAACCGCGGTGCAAGGGCAAAGCCAGCTCCAGGACGGTGGACGGATTCGTCGCGTTGCGCACCCACGTCGTGTTGCTCAGCATCGCTCCCCACGGACCGCCAAACCCGCGCGGCTGCACCGTCGACACCGGCACGAAGCTCAGGTGCGTGCCGAGCTGCGGATCGCGTGCCCACCGAAACGGCGGCGGTAGCGCCACCATCAGCAGTGTCGGGACGACGCTCCCACCGCCGCGGATGTCGTTCTGCGTCAGGCTCCCACCAGCCGCCGTCGTCGTCACGGCA